CGTCTTGTGCACGGCCGTCTTCTTCTCCATGTTCTCCAGGATCTCACGCTCGTTGGCCGTCAGGTAGCCTGCGGCAGGAGGGGGCGGGTCAAAGAGGAAAGTCGCTGCCTCAGGAGTATGCGAGCATGATGCAGACACAGGCAGATAGATAAGAAGACATATATAGATGTTGATACTGATACAGATATATGATAGATAAATAAGGTCGGTATATACTTAACCTATATCAATTTAAGATTATGTAATTCACACACCTATGCACGAACATATATACCTTTTTATTTACGTGAGTGTGCTTGAGAGGAAGACAGAGAGAGAGAGAGAGACTGTGAGAAAGGGAGAGATTTTCAAGATAAAGGGAGAGATCTCAGATAAAACAGACAGACAAATAGACAGACCCTTATCCTGCCCTTACCCCCCCCTCCCCCAGAAGCACTCACCGGCATCCACGAGCTGCTGCAGCGTCGGGAAGTTCTTCTTGACGCCCGGGGCCACCATGGCGAAGGTCATGACGAAGGCCAGGTTGAGGTAGCGAACCACCGTGCAGCGCAGCATCCTGCCGATTGAGTCCTGCGGAGGAGCCAAGGATTCGGGGACTTGGGAAAATTGGAAGGAAAGAGGAGGCAAAAAATATATATATATTTCGGAAGGGCCGTGTTATGGCGGCCGCGATTCCTTTCCTTAATAAGATGATGACGTTGATATCAGCAATCATAATGATCTCAAAAATCATAATTACCATCATCATTATCATACTAATTATCATCATTACTTATAACTATCGTCCTCATGACCATAATTACAATAATTATCAACACGTCTATTTGAAAATAACATTGTTAATGATACAAAGCTTTTAGTAACAAGCTAATTCCTGAACCGCAGCGGGAGAGGCGCCCTCAGAGGCATCGCCCGCACCCCGCAGACGGCCCTGACCTGGCCCTGACCTGGCCCTGGACGTGCGTGGACAGCAGGATGCAGCACGTGTCCGGCCAGGGGATGCTGAGGTACATGCCCCACCAGCGGCTCACCACCAGAGACACGTAGAAGCCCAGCACGAACGAGATGGGAATCAGGTTCCGGAAGTGCCCGCAGTGCTGGGACACCTTCTCGAAGTCCCTGTGGGGGGTGGGGGGGGTGGTTAGTTATGCAAGGTGCACGGCTTCTCTCTTCTCTCTCTCTCTCTCTCTCTCTCTCTCTCTCTCTCTCTCTCTCTCTCTCTCTCTCTCTCTCTCTCTCTCTCTCTCTCTCTCTCTCTCCTCTCCCTCCCCTTCTCTCTCTTTCTCTGTCTACTTCTCTTTCTCTCTTCATATATATATATATATATATATATATATATATATATATATATATATATATATACATATATATACATATATATACATATATATACATATATATATATACATATACATACATACATACACACACACACACACACACACACACACACACACACACACACACACACACACACACATATATATATATATATGTGTGTGTGTGTGTGTGTGTGTGTGTGTGTGTGTGTGTGTGTGTGTGTGTGTGTGTGTTGTGCAGTGTTTGAGTGTGTGAGTGAGTGAGTGTGAGTGTGAGTGTGAGTGTGAGTGTGAGTGTGTGTGTGTGTGTATGTGTTTGAGAGTGTGTGAGTGAGTGTGAGTGTGAGTGTGAGTGTGAGTGTGTGTGTGAGTGAGTGAGTGAGTGAGTGAGTGAGTGAGTGAGAGTGAGTGAGTGAGTGAGTGTGTGAGTGAGTGAGTGAGTGAGTGAGTGAGTGAGTGAGTGAGTGAGTGTGTTGCGTGCGTGTGTGCAGAGAGAGAGAGAGAGAGAGAGAGAGAGAGAGAGAGAGAGAGAGAGAGAGAGAGAGAGAGAGAGAGAGAGAGAGAGAGAGAGAAAGAGAACATAAATTATGTAAGAATATGTATGCATGTATATTTTTCTGCATGCATGTAATTATGTATCTATGTACGTATGTATGTAGATACTTCCTTACCTTTTTTGGTCATCTGTGAGCCCAAACCTATAGATGCAGGATAAACTAGCGTATAGGAGGATGTATACCAGCATATCCTTCCACACCATCTTGTACACGCTCCCGCGCCATCTGTTGGGGAGCAGCTGAGTTAATTGTCTTTCGGGGAAGGTGCATTCCATTTAAGACTTCTCTACTGTGATATGGGTCTCTTGTTATCATGAATGTTATTATTATTATTATCATTATTATTATTATTATTATTATTATTATTATTATTATTATTATTATTATTATTATTATTATTATTATGCTATTATCAATGATTATCATATTTATTATTTTTTTATCATTATTGTTGTAATTATCATAATCATTATATCAATTCTATTATCATTATCATCAATATTGATATCAATTATCAACTTACATCCAAAGGGATTGGAAGCATAAAGCATGAAACTTATGTGTATATATCAGACGACCCTTATCATAAAATGTACACTGTGTATCACTAACTGATCTATACTT